GGTCTGAGATTACCTTAAGATACTGTCAAATGCCCCCCCCCCCCCAAAAAAAAATTACTTATTTTCCTATGGTTTAAATAGTCAGGCTTTTAAATACCAACCTTTCAGGGTTTTGTTTTGTTTTGTTTTAAAGGAAAAATGCACAGGAATGCTGTTTTGAAGTCTCATGTAACTTGGCAATCACTGTAGCCATCCAGGTTTGAACATGCAGGTTGATTTTACTCTCCATTGTGAGTAACACATTCTTTCTTAACAGTAGTAGTGACAAAACCAAATGTTAGTATATGTCATTGGTATATTTTGCTTCTGTTTCTCCTCAACATGAAGAGGTTGGATCCTTGGGAACTCTTGCTGCTCTTGTGCAGGTGAAACTTTCATTAAAATCAGTGCAGGGTCTTATTTTCTTAAGGTTTTTTTTCCCCTGTTTAGGGACTGAAGAAATAAACTCACTCTACAAATAGCATATATAAAATTTCTGTATTTTAAATTGGGAAATGCTTATTTTTTTTATTAGTATTATGACATGACATGCCTTTTGATCTCTTTTCTGTAAGAATTACTGCTGAGAGCTGGCTTTGGCCAAGAGTACAAAGTGGTTTCTGTTAAAACAATACTCATGAGGTCCTGATCGTCCGCAGCTGTCTGGGGGAATTCAACTGGAATTAATTTGAGTTACAGATATTTGTTTCCTTTTGAGATCATTTGATCTTTGACCTAACTTTTATATAAGGGACGTATAATGACAGCAGACCAGCATGCTTCAAATGATAGAGTGTAATCAGTTTGGTCTCCCTGGCTTCAAATCCTTTTAAATCTGTATCTGCTGCGTGGAAGGCAAGATCTTAAAGGTTTGACATAAGGTGAGGTAGTGGGATTTTTATGGCTATTTCACATCTTTTTCCTATGACTAGAAATCTGGGTTGCCTGCCTTAGCAGCTTCCTCTGCATCCTCTTTTCTTTCTGTGGCTAGAAAGCAAGATATGAAATTCTTCCCCAACTTTTATTTCTATAGAGGCAGCCTGGAGATGAGCTGCAGTGCTTGTGCTAACTGATGTCAAATTTCAAATGCTCACCTGTGATTACCCAAACCAGTAAATTAAGGAAATCACCAGCAATGCCTTCAGACAAGTAGTGACTTTTTGAAGCTGCCAAACAATGGCTGCTAACTAAAATCTTTGGGCAATACCACAAAGAATGAAGTCTGTATAGTAATTAAAAATACGATGTTGTCACCCCCACAGAAATTAATTACTCAGTAGTAAAATCTGCAACATGATTAAATTAAGTGGAAAGTAGTTCCAAGATTGTTTATTACCATTGAGGAACATGAATGTTGAGTCCTTCAAATTCTCTTGCTCAGTAAACGCGGTTCTCTTCCCCTCCTTGGAAATCTTCTAAGCCATTCATTTCCTTTTAATTTTGCTCAGGCGCTTAAGAACATAAAGAGTTAATGCCCTTGTAATGGTCATTTGTACATAAAGTTGTAATTATTTATTTTCTCATTTGTACCATATCAAGGCTTTGTACAATGTTTTAAGTTTTGTTTTCAAATTATTTTGTATTTTATTTTTATAAACTGGTTCTAAATAAAATACTCATTCAGCATGCAAAACTTCAATTCTGGTGGTGTTTGTATAATTGATTTATTTATAAAAGCTTCACTTGATTTTTTTCCCAGTATTTTTTTAGTATTGTAACCCTGTACTTTAAATGGAGAAAGTGCTTTGATAGTGATTTTTTTCTGTTATAAAAAAGGAAAAAGCAAGCGTCTCTTGGTGCTACAGGAACATGAGTCAGATGCTCATATTGCAAGTCAGACTGATTGGATCAATGGAAGTTTTACTGATTTAATATGTTCATGTTTTGTGTATTAATAAGAATAGAGAAACTCAGCCGGTGTCCTCGTAAACATCCCTATTTGCTCCTTCTGTTATCCATACTGGCTGTATTCAGCCAAACAATAAATGATCATCACAGCCAGATCAGATCAATTTTAGTAACAATATAATGGATTCTAGCCTTGTTACTCTGAAAAGCCGGCTCCTGCTACTTTTTAATCCCTCCCGAGCTGAAATTCCTTGTTTAGTCAGAGGCCACCAGAATTTATTTTTCTGGAGACGATCAGATGTCTGGATGTAGTCACTGAGCTTTTAGAGCCTCGAGGAGACCTGTTGTCCCCTGTGCAATATGCTGAAGTGGGAGATAGCAGAGAAGTTAACAAACAGAAGTTACTGAATCTGAGCAGTATGTGCTATGTGGAAATGCAGAGTTAACCTACCAGTTGCTCTCGTTCCCTCCAAGATCATTTCTTTCTAGTAAAAATAGAGTATAATATACCATATGAATTTATATTTGTGGCTTATGTGCCTGCATGTTTTAGTCCTTAAATGCTGTGGAAAATACTGCCTGCTCTTTGTGCAGCAGAACGAGGTTTTTAGGGAAGTCCAGAAGATTTGGAGAAAATTCCCTGGATCCCTTGCTCAGCATTATCACCATCACACTTTTATGTAAGGCAAATTGAAAGCCAGCTCTGCCCCTGTTCAAATCATTGGCAGTATTTTCAGTAAGCTTCATGACCACGTCATTAGCTCTTGTCATTGTATAAATAGCTCCAACTGCTTTACATGACAGGAAACAAATTGGGAATTAATTTACTCAGTAGCATTCCAAGAAAACGATGTTTCATCTTCTGTTAAGAGCAGTCAGAAATTTAATGGCATGCTTCTGAATGGTGTGTGCTTTTTATGCTCCAAACAGAACCATCATTTGATCACAGAAAGAGCATATGAAGAAACAGCTATTTTTATATATATATATGCTCTCTCTATATATAATGCTAATAGAATAGCATTAATTTGAAGATGAAAATAGCAAATTTGTACACTGTACTGGTGACAGGTATCTTATTTTAAATACTTAAATGTGGATCATAACAGAAATGGAGGTGTGATTTTGATCTGGCTCCAATATACATTAGCGGTACAACTGACGGGGGGGGGGGGCAAGATTGAAATAAAGATGCTGTGGCGGATTGATGTTGGGGTCTGGTAGTTGTCTGGCCACCAGACTGTCTTTTAGCATTGTCTGGCTTGTCATCTTCATTCATACAGGAGATCCAACCTGCCCACTCTGTTCTTGACATCTTGCTGCGCTTCTCTGCACTTGTACTGTAGCTGCCTCTCATTTAAACTTGTACTCGAATATTAGAGAGCCTTGTAGCGTACACAAGTCGGCTCTCCCTAGAAATGCTGTAGTAAGTGACATTTATGAATTCGCAACTGGAGAAAGAATTGAAACACTAAAAGCCAGACAGGTAGGAACTGGCTGTTGCAACCCGGACAAGCTCAAACTGCTGCCCAAAAGGACCAGGTAAACTTCAGATCACATTTCGCTCATCTACCTGGAATGTCACAGTAGCGTTAATTGGCTTCAGCCATGAGAACACAAATTAAGGGTGTCTTCTGCAGTTACAGCAAACAGTGCTCTAGAGAGCCCATCTGTACTAATGGAGAGAGAAATAATGCTTCCAACACGTTAATTTAGAAAGATTTTAACAACATTGACTCAATAACCAGATTTAGAAGGATTAGTTCTTTCCCATTTTTAAAACCAGCACCATCTCCTTTTGTTAAGGTAGACCTGAAAATGAGAACTGCCTTTACTTCAAGGCATTAATCCCAATTAACAATGTGCTGTACATGTTTTAATTCTTTGAGGTATTTGCATATTTTACACCATCTATAATACTGAAGGGAAACACTAACAACGTGACCACCCTGTGTTCACAGGGTGAACCAGGCAGCAGCTGTCTGGTTTTGAGGCACCTGTGTCTCTTTTACAGAAGTAAAAGACAGCTCTGCCAAAGCTGACTGGTGAAATGACGTATCTCACCCTATGATTACATGTTCCTATGCTGCTAGGAGAAGGACAATTGGGTTACAATTCTCTGTACCATTTGTAGTTGCTGAAGTCTGGCAGCAAGAATGCTTGTGCCAAATGACTGGAAAACTAGAGGCAGCTAGTCATTGCTATAGGCCAAATCTATCCATAGAGCTTTAATACTGGTGAAAATACTTAAAGAGGAGGATCTGCATGATTTTTCAGGTCATCAGACAAAGTTGCAGAGGGTTTTTGTTTCCTCTCCAGTATGGGCACAGGACATAGAAACACAGCACCTCTGCTAATTTTGAATTGTGTGAAGCAGAGTAATATATCAGTGTTAAACATACCAGGCTTAAGCATGCCTCAAGAATAGCGGCAGCGATCACCTTTCTCCTGTTTAAATGTGAAAAGGAGATTTTTTCACATTAGGATTAAATGATTCCTTTGTGCTTTTTTCAGAGTTGACACTTAACAGGTTACTTTTTGCTCCAACTCTTGACTTTATTCTTCCTTGATACATAGTTAAGAGAATGGAAGATTCTACTCATCTCTCCAACAGGTAAAGATGAAAGCTTCATAAACTATGCAGAAGCATTTGGTCTGTCTGGAACAGTCAGCTGCTGCCTCCTGACATTTGTTTAACAGCAACTCTAGCTTCTATTTAATGTAAAACAATGCAGAAACTTCTTTGGTTTCTACATTTCAAATGTTTTGACATTGATTCCAGAAGGCTTTTGAAATCTGGTGAAGATACAGCCTGCTTATAAAACATATGGGGAAAAGTTATTCCATGTCAAAACCAGGCATCACTCATCAATTACTATTTTTTGCTATATTTCTCTATTTTAACCATGTAAGAAGAAAGAGCCTACCCTGCTAATAAAGCAAAGTGCCTCTGAGGGAAAGGTGCATTTGACAAGCTGGGAATGAACTACAGCCAGCTGGAACGATGCTGTATGAATTCTGAGGAGCACATTCATGAATAACAGCTCAGTCCTAAAACATTCCTAGAGTAAGCACAGATTTCAACCTCCTCCTGCGATGCCTTGCACAGCTCAGACTTAAAAGAAAAACCGAAAGAACCACCCAACATTATAATTACTAGAAAAAGCAAGTACTTAAAGAGTTAACAACTTTTGAGGTTTGTTTAATCAAAAAATGAAGCAACTTGTGTAAGACAGCTCCTGACCATCAGTAACCATAGTGTTACTTTTTACCCTACTCTCATGCCTTTTATTTTTGAAAAGGTCACATTAAACAAAGGATGATACAGACAAGAGTCTTAGTCAAAATAAATGTTTTTTGTTTGGTTGGTTTCTTTAGAGAGTAAGAGGATAAAGAAAACAGAATTAAAATTAGCCAGCTTCAACAGAGTTAACAAACAGGAGACTGGAAATTAGTGTTTAATGCCACCTACAGTGAAATGTTTCCCACTGGGAAAAATGTGGGAGGCAAGTCCATTTTGCTCCTTTCAAAGTCACAGGCCGGAGCAGAACATACAACAGCACCTAACAGCACAGTCACTTTACATATATTCAAGTTCTTACATATCTGCAAAGCAGAAGTAGTAGCAGCCATTTGGATGTTCTTTCTTAATGGTTCTCAGGGGGGGCCTGGGAAACTCGGAAGGACCTGGTTCTTGTGACATGGAGCTGGAGCTGCAGCTGCTGCTTCTGCTGCTGCTTCCAGCCACTTGCGCTCTACCTCTCCCCTCAGCAGGAGAGACCTGGGGGGATCCTGGGCTCAGGTACCCGGCTGTGGTTTGAGTAGAGGTGGTGGCATACGTGGTGGGGCCAGTGTTGTTTTTCACATAGACGTTTTTGATAGCAACAAGTGTATGTGCCATGATGCTGAGGCTGTTACTCAGATCTTGCATGCCTTGCTGCAGCAGCCGAAGATTGTGGTTGACACTGTCAAAACCAGACTGGATCACCTGCATCTGGGTCTGTTGAATCTGCACCAGGTCCTCTTCAGTTATTTCATTTTGGTCTGCCTGGGACCTGCCTTTTGTTTTGGCTTTTACTTTCCCAGAGGAACCACTGCCTGATGTCCCCAGAAAAGATAGCTGTTCTTGGCTAGGTGGAACCACTGCCATGTCCTCAGAGCTTTCTTCTGGCTCTACCACCTTCACTACTATTTCTTCTTTGAGGTTCATCTTCTCAAGACTGGATTGATGAGATGGGCCAGGATCATCATTAAACCCTAGAGGAGAGGGAGGATAAGGAAAAGCAAACAAGAGACAGTGAGAAACTTCATGACCTCTGTGGTCAGTGAAATGTGTTCTTGTCCACTAAGCACTAACATTAGTACTTGTAAGAATGAGATATGTGGTGAAGGGGTTAACGAGGTGTGGTAGCTGCAACACCCTGATGCAGGCAGAGACTGCTTGGCCCTTAATGCTGCCTCAGGTGGGTTGAAGAGGGAGTGCTGCTAGTGTTTCATGGTTCTGTTCATTGCACAAGACCCATAGCCTTTGAGCAGCCTGACTGAAACGCTCATTATTCCTCATTTACATACAACGAATATACCAAAGGTTTTCCAACCCAAACATTCTACAAAGTGAGAAAGTGGCTTCTCCCCCCCAACTTCTGTGGCAGCAGCAACATGTAATTTGACAACAGTCTCACCTCCACTTCTCTCAAAAGTATAAATTTGACATTGAACTCTACCTCCAAGGCAGAGAATGAGAATATGACCTGATTGTGCAGACAAGTTGGTGGGCTTTCTCCTCTCTCCTCCCCAAAGCAGAGATGCCTCTTTGGTAAAATCTGACCCTCCCAATACATTGGATGATACCCATACTTAATGAATTACGAAGGAGTTTTTCCATATGAGCTCAATTAATTGTTGGCTACCTTTGGATTTTAGCACTAATGCAGTAAGTGAATTTATCAACAGCAATTCCCAATCTGTATTTCTGTTGCTTCAGTAAACCTGTTTGTGAATCTGTAATTGTGAAAGTTCTTACTGAACGTGACCAGACGCACAAGTGTCAAACTGGTCAAGATCAGAAATCAAGCCTGGCTGCATCCAGCTCCTCCGATCCCTGAGGACTGGCTGGAACACAAGAGGGTTGATTTTCTGCCAAATTTCTATACTCTGAACACAACAGTCCCCAAAACAAGATGCTGCAACTCGCACTGCATTATCTTTGATGCTTTTAGAATATTACCTCAATAAATGGGAAGAAAACCATAAAGATGCATTCACCAGCTAACCATGTATTTGCATGCTACAGATCCCTTACCAGCCCCACCACAGAAGCTGAGTTTTAGGTTCCAAGAGGCAAAGTTCAGCTTGCAAGCTCATTTCAAGCTCTATCTGCACGTGGTAACCAGTAACAGCACTTCCAAAGCACTGCAATTGCAAGAAACCCCGTGGTACCGGAGCCGATCCTTTCAGCTCACTAATGCAACGTCTCTCTGGTACACACGAAGTTATGTTCTCGCAGCACTCTCTACTGCCTACACCTGCACACCGGCACGGCTTTTTGTGTTTGCAAGAGTAAATACGTGAACACAGGCGGCTGGATCTAATGCTTCATAGACAGGCATCTACCACGAGACAGAGTTCACTCCTAGGGGCTGTTCTGATGCACCCTCATGACCCACAGCACGAAACCTCCGCGCTCTGTGCGCGCACGTGTACGTTTCGCACTTCAAAGAGAGAAGGCAGTGACCCAAAGCAGGCTGCTACCCGCATCCCGCTGCGCGCACGCACTGAGCTCCCAGCCCGCTCCGCTCAGCGCCGTCCCTCCCTGGAGACCGGGAATCGGCTGTTGGGGCTCCCGCAGGGAAGGCACCGCGGAGGGGGCCGGTCCCTCACTCACCCATCTCCCCCACGACGGCGCCGGGCAGCTCCAGCGTGTCGATGCCACCCACGATGGGCACGGCCTCGGCGGGCAGCAGGGAGCCGTAGGCGCGGTGGTGGTGGTGGTGGTGACGGCGGGCGGGCTGCGCGGCGGCGGGGGGCATCTCCTCAGGGGCCAGGAGGAGGCCGAGGGCAGGGGGAGCAGGCGGCCCGCAGCCCTGCGAGAGGCGGCACAGCTTGCTGCGGTCGCGGCGCTTCAGGTCCCGCCAGCGCTTCTTCAGGTCCTCCACGTCGCGGGGACAAGCGGCCACCGGGTTCACCTTGTGCCGGATCAGCTCCCACACCTTCCGCTTCTGGCCCGGGGAGGCGCGACCGGGCCCCGCCGCAAACAGCAGCTGCTCGTGCTTCAGCACCTGCTCGATCAGCACCTCCGTCTCCGCCTCGTTGAAATTCGCCTTGCGCCGCTTCGGCGACTCCTCGGCCATCCTCCGCCAAAGGGGGCCGGGCCGGACCCCGCCCGGCAACGGCGGGAGGGCGCGGAGCCGCGGCGGGGGATGGCACCGCCGCCCCGGCCCCGGGCAGGGGCCGCCGCCGTTAGGCCGGGCCCCGAGCCCTGCCGGGGAAGCAAATACCGCGCATGAGAGGAAAAGACGCGCCCGGGCCGGCGCAGGCGCCCCGTGCCCCGCGTGTTGACATGGGGAGGGGGCCCGGCCCCGCGCCCGGCCCGCCCCTGCCCGCCTCCCCGCCGGGAGCCCCGCCACCGCCCGCCCGCCCGCGCCGGGGAGAGGAGGGTGGGGACGGGACGGGACGGGTCCGCCCCGCCGCGGGTTGTGCGCGTGCTCGGCGGCGGCGGGAGCCGGGAATGGCGGCGGTGCTGGAGCTGCTGCTGCGGGAGGAGGTGGCGGTCGCTGCCGTGGTGCGGTGGCTCCTGCACGGCCCCGGCCACCGCCCAGCTGAGGTAACGCGCCGCGGGTCGTGTCGTCCGCTCCGCCTTCCCGCCCCCCGCCCGCCCGCCCTCCCTCCCTCCCTCCCTCCCTCCCTCCGCGGGGCCGTGCGGGAAAGTTTGTCTGCTCCGGCCCTGGGGGCGGCCGCTCCGCGCTGCCGGGAGGGGCGAGTCCCGCGTGGGACAAAACGGGGCCCCATCTGCGGCCGGGACATGGGGCCGAGCTTCGTCTGTAGTGGCGGGCGGGCTCTGGGCAGCGCGGCGGGAAGGCGAGGCGGTCACATCCCTGGGGCCGAGCTCGGCGCCGCTCGGGGCGGGCGGCTGCGGGCTCCGGGTTGAGGCGGCGGCGGTGGGGGGGGGGGAGCTGGCGGTCGCTGCTTGGGAAGCGTGGCGCGAAGGCGGTGCCGGGGCCTCTGGGCTCGTGTGACAGCGGAGACCGCGGGCAGCGGAGGGCAGCGGGTGTCCGAGGAAGGCGGGGACACGGCGGGCGGCGCTTCCCGCGCCTCTGGAGGGGAAGGTCCCGGAGAGGGACGGGGGAGCCGGGGCGCGGCTCAGTCCGGAGCGCTCGGTGCAAACGCCACCGCGGGTCCCGGCCGGCGGCTGGTGCCGCCTGTGTGTTGGGGAGGGTCTGTCAGCGCTGGGAGACGGTTCTCGTGGGGTTTGCAGGCTGCGCTTTCTGATGGGGTACGGCTGGAGAGCTTGGGTTCCTGCTGTGATAAGAGTGCTTGTAACCACAGACAGACTGTGAGTGCTTGTGTTTCACCGACAGCCATAGAATGGTTTGCTTTGGAAGCGAGCTTAAAGATCATCTAGTTCCAGCCCCCTGTCACAGGCAGGGACACCTTCCACTAGCCTGTAGTAAAGCATATTATGCTTAAGCCCCTCAGAGCATGTTACATAGTGATCAAAAGCAAAACTCGCTGCTGTCACCCACGTGAGTTACTGCTCACTTATCGCTGTCATCCTAAACTTGTGCGGGAAGAAGGGACCAGCATTTTAAGTTGCCTTAAACTGTGACTTGCAGGAGCAGACCTGTGGAGGTTTATGAAGCCTGAGCCACTGCCAGCTCAGGTGACACTGCGCTGGGGAGGGGTGTGAAGGATAAAAGGCTTGCAGGAAACTTGGTGGCTGCTGACAGGTCGCTGTTATCTGGCCATGGAGGAGCCAGACTTCTGTTAACTTGCACAGAGAAGATGAGTGAAAGCAGATTGTGCTCTGGAAAGTCAGCTGCAGAAACTCCTGACCTTGTGCATAGCACAGATGCCTCTGTGCTAAGGGAGACAGACTTTAGCAGGGCCTCTTGCGATAGGATGAGGCGTGATGGTTTTAAATTAAAAGAGGGAAGATTCAGCCTGAACTTCAGGAAATAATTCTTTACAATGAGGGTGGTAAAATCCTGGCACAGGTTGCCCAGGGGGGTGGTAGATGTGCCATCCCTGGAGACATTCAAGGCCAGGCTGGATGTGGCTCTGAGCACCTGATCTAGTTGAAGAGAAGGCTGCATGGAGACCTCATAGCAGCCTCCCAGTATCGGAAAGGGGCTTATAAGGATGCTGGGGAGGGACTCTTCATTAGGGACTGTAGTGATAGGACAAGGGGTAACGGGTTAAAACTTAAACAGGGGAAGTTTAGATTGGATATAAGGAGGAAGTTCTTTACTGCAAGGGAGGTGAAGCACTGGAATGGGTTGCCCAGGGAAGTTGTGAATGCTCCATCCCTGGTGGTGTTGAAGGCCAGGTTGGACAGAGCCTTGGGTGACATGGTTTAGTGTGAGGTGTCCCTGGCCATGGCAGGGGGTTGGATCTGGATGATCTTAAGGTCCTTTCCAACCCTAACTATTCTGTGATTCTATGTACCTGCTCATTTCAGGGTTTTGGACTAGATGCCCTTTGAGGGTCTCTTCCAAACGCAACTATTCTATGATTTTATGATTCTAAACTCAGGGGGGCACCCCAGGAAATCGCACATTGCATTTTGCTCTAGCTTTCATGGCAGTTTTGTACTAGAGCTGGTAAGCAGTTGGGTTTTCCCATACCTTTGTGGATTGTGTTCTGACCTGTCTTTTTTCATGGGGTGATGGAATGCTAAAGCAGTGAGCCTTGGCTGTTCAGCTTGTTATCCAGGTGATGTTGGTGACTTCTGCTTCTCCAGGAAGCTGAATTGGTCTCATTCTGTCACATGTGAATTTCAGCATAGGTGTCGAGGATTGTAGGAGTCTAGTCGTGGCCACACTGTCACTGCCTGGTTTCATTGAAAAACGTCCTTCAGAAATAGCATTTGCTTTCTTGACTTTGCATCTAGTGGAGGTGTGAGCACAAATAAACCGGAATATGTCTGCAATTGCTTCAGTATTAGTAAGGAATACATTGCTGCCTGTGAGAGCTGCTTCTTGTAAATGTTGCTGAATCTAACTTTGATAAAAGAGAGACCTGGTGCAGTGTTAGAAACAAGAGAAGTTGTACCCAGTATGCAAAACTTTGAACTATGCATGTAACATGAGGTCTTTTTTGTCTGGATATACCCTTTAAGATCACTGCCAGCTGTTTAGATTTTAAATGTGTTGAGTTTGTGTTTTGGTTTGGGTTTTAAGTTTCATAAGTATAAACTTCAGGTACCTTAAAGTTGCACCGTCTCTGTTTTGACCTCTGTGAGGTCTCATGGGAGCAAAATAATTTAATTGAAATGGAAGAGCAGCTTTGGTCTTGTGTTTGGTACTGCAGGAGTCAAAGTGCTTGAATGATTGTTGTTGCAGCACCCCTCTGTGGAAGCAGGTGGCATTCCTAAAGAATCAGGGGATGGACAAGTTGCAAATTTTAGCTTTTTCTGTTGGAATTAGCTGCTTCAGTCTTTGAAACGCTGGTTTAGAGGTGCCAGTTGTTCCAGTTTTCACTGGCCATAGCTTCAGTAAGTATTAGTGATGTTTCCATGGAACAGTTCCACTGTTTCCCAGTCAGAGACCAAAGTGAATGACTCCCTCTGAAAACTTCTGACAAAATGGCTTGTGTGGAGACTGAGCTTCAGATCTGTGAGCAGTGCTAGCATCCCTTGAATTTCAGTGACCTGCTTTGACAAGTCAGGTTGGTTTTTTACTGGGTATTGCAGTCCCACAGTTACTACTGTGGGCACATGGACAAAAGGGGTCGGGCAGCTTCTTTATGTTAATGCTTTGTCCTCTTCCCTTGCAGGAGAACCACATCCATGAGAAGCTCGTATCTCTTAGTTTGCTTCAGAAAGACTTTGTGCCTTTTCTGCTAAATTTTTTAAGGGAGCAGACCAGCCAGATCCTGACTAATGGACCCTCTACTCCTGCTAAAACTCCTAATTCCAAGGCCCATGGAAGCCAAAGGACAGGATCAGAAAGAAGGGCAGGCCATGCCACCAGCAGCCGTGTGCAGCTCTTTTCCCAAAGCACTTCGGTAACCACCTGCACCACAGATACCAGCTTTTCTCCTGCTGTGGCATCCAGCAGCTCCTCTTCTTTTTCTGGGTCAAGCCTGTCCAGCCCGTGTGGTGACTTTCCTAGCATGGTCTCCAGCAGCAGCCCAAGCTTTGGGTACAGCCCTCTGCTTAACCATGGTGAGAAGCGGTCATCTCAGAAGGCCAGCTTGGGCAGCTTCCTCACAGCCACACCTGAAGCCCTGCCAGCGAGACGAGGCCGAAGGAAAGGCAGCAGCTCAGTCAGTGCCTCTGGCCGTCCAGTAGCTCGGGATCTGGGGCACTGCCTTACTGAAGAGGAAGATGGAAAGAGTGACGGTGCATCGTGGTGCTTAGGGAGAAGGAAGCGGAGTGAAGTGCCTCCTGTTTCTGTCAGATCCCCACCCAGCCAGCTAAATCTTAACAATTTGGAGGAGTTTCCACCCATGGGTGCTGCCTCTGGCTGGACAAAGTAAGAGCAAGTCTGCCTTGCTGCCTCCTTCAGGTTGTGCTGCAGGTTACTGTTCCTTGAGTAGCTTATCCTGTTATGTGTGTCCAGAGGGAAGATGCTGTAATAAACACCACTCAGGGCTGGCTGTTGAGCTCCTTGGTCAGCTACTTTGTCACGGTTGCCATGAGGGGAATATCACTTCAGTGGGTAGTTGGGTTTCCACTTTGTGAACTCACCCAAAATGCCTCTGTAGCCTGTCACTTGTGATGCTGCCTGCAGCTCGCTGGAGCACAGAGCAGCTGATAGGAAGCTGAGCACAACTTTGTCCTTGCATGTTCTAACAAGTCAGCATTATCTTGGCTCTTCACATTTCTTGTTTAACACAATAGCAATTGCTAATGAAGAGCAATTCTGGAAGGCTCTTCAGCTTTACTGATGCTAGCAGAAAAGCTTTCAGATTGACGTTCTGTGGTTTCTGGTAATAGATGTTAGGGTGCAGCTTTGTTTCTGTTGTGCGATCATGGACAGAATCTCTTTGGTCTGCAGCAAGTTTTGGTCTCTCTGGTGACTTTGGCTAAGCTTTGGCTTAGCTTCCAGGCAGCTGTGTACCTGTTGCCTCAGTCCTTTTTGAGATTTTACTCTTTAAAATCCTCATTACCAAATGCAAGGCTTTCATGTCAGCCTGTTTGCTTCATGCATGAGGCACTGGGCTCTGAAAGTAGGGCTTTCTAGCTGGACGTGCAGAATTGCAGCTGAAAATTTATAGGTCTGTGTGTCTGTACAGCAGGTGCAGATGCTGGGTCTAGATAATGCTGTGGCCAAGGGAGATAAGGTTTGTTTCCAGCATAAGCAGTAAGTCTTTCTTCCTCAAGTGCACTATGTCCAACTAAGATAAAGAGTGAGGAAAGAGGTCACCGAGTGTTAGGAAGTCAACACTACAGCAATTTTGAGAGCACCAAAGCAACCAATATGTAGCAACCAGCATTTCCTTGAGAAGTGTAATGCTCTATGTTCCTGTATCTCAGTTCCAGTGTGTCTCTTACTGCATTACAGATCCTCTTCCAGAAAGACAAATATAGGCAGTATATGCAAGAAGAATGGGTTTCCCTAAACTTAAAAGGGTCTATGGTAGCTGAGGAGCTTTTACTCTTCTGATAGACAGTGGCAGCTTGATGTTTGGCTTTAGGGTTTTTTTCTTGTATTTTTCTTTCTTGTGGTCTTGTTAGAAACTGCAGGTGAATTAGTTTCTTATGAAAACTGAGTGGCATATTGTGTCCTCTCAGAGAAGTCTGGAGGAGTTCTGTGGCAGTGTAACCTGTTCTGTGGCTTGCAGGAAGATCAGCAGGCTGCTCGTAGCAGTCTGTAGTTCCATGACTTTTTCTTCAGTGACCACACTAAAGTCAACAAATAGACACACAGGTTAGAAGTTCAATATTGTGACTCCATATCTGTTTTGTTTTAGCATCAGGCTCTTCTGGAAGAGTTGCATGCATATCTTTCTGGAGACCTAATGTTTTTGTTGTTGGTTAGCTTGATTTCATTGGAATTGTTTCTCACTTTTTCAGCAAAAGCAAACCGTCAAGGCGAATCAACCCAACTCCTGTAAGTGCTGAGCGCCCCCTCTCAAAACCAAAGATGTGCTTTACTTCTACACCTGTCAGCCAGTCTCCAGCTGCTCGGTTTTCATCTGGGACAAGCATTGAGGCCTTTACTGCTGTCCAGGAAGGAAACCTTACGTCTATGATAAGCAACAGCCTTCAAGAGGAGAGGGAGATGCTGAAGAAAGAACGGTATGGTCTGAGCAGGGTGGTGATAGCTTGTGTTGATTCTTAATTATTTTGTCTTATGGTCAGAGTGGAGATGACCAGAAGAATATCCAAAATAGATATTGGGGACCTTAAACTATAATTTGCCTAAAACCCAAGTGTGATTCTGGTATCAGACTAGGATATTAATGCAGTTAACTCATGTTTGTAATTTTAGAGGGGTGCTGACTCTGAAACCGTGACCCTCACTGTATCTTCAGGGATTTAGTCAGTCCTCACTGCTCTTGTAAGATTGCCTGTTCATGGGCTTGCACACGTGACTATCTCCTGTGCAGCTTTCCTTAGATTGCACAGGCAAAGCAAGTGTTTTTGAGCTGCTGTAATTAGGCTGTGTTTGAAGATTGTGCATGTGATGGAAATCATAGTCTGGTCTGCAGAAAATGGGTTAATGATGGAAATGTTGGGAAAGTGTTAATGATTTTGCAGGTTAGGCAGGCTAACAAAAGCTTGCAGTCAGAGAAAGCAAGGTGTGGGTAGGGTAAGATTCTGTTTTAAAAGTTACTACTGCAGTTATCTACTGAAAATTATATTTACGGGGAGATGAGGTGAATTCTAGCCTCTAATTTTGTCTCTTGTTTGGTCACTGTGTGGCTTTCGTCCTCTGTGAATGATTATCACTGTTAGCCTGTGAGGACTGATACTTTAGGATAAAAAGTGCAAAGCATAGTAGCAAAGAAACTGTTGTTTGTAGCTTGTCAGAACTGTTGCTCTTCTTTGTAAATTTTGTTCTTGAGGAAACTCCTCAGGACATGTGGGTGGAATTCTTTTCCTGCTCAGCCTCGAAGTTCACTTCAGTGGGTCCAGAACGGGATGAAACAGACCCAGTAGAGTCTCACAAGTTATTGTTTGTACCTAACCTGTAACAGACTGCTCAGGATTCAAACCTGCCTCTCTGGACTTAAGTGAAGTACCTATTGCAGTCTGAATTCTACCTGAATTCTCCCACTTAATCCATATAAATGAAAGTTGGTGAAATAGCAGCATGTGAGCTGGATCTTGCCTGTGAGGTGTTCTCATCTGACTCATTGTGCTTGAGAGCTGGGAGATGCTGTTGTGTCCTCAGAGGTGGTGGTGAAGTGAGGTACAAAACTAGCACAGCCCTCAGCCAACTGGATTGCTTTGGGCAAGGTCAAAAGGTGAAATTCGTGCTGAGGCAGATGACAGTACTGAGGCAGAAGTGAAGCAGAGTCTAACTGCATTACTGAAGTCTTACCTTGATAGGTTTACAAAGTCCTTAATAAATAATTTTTTTCAGTTCTGTCAGTCAGGTGCTTATGTTCATTGTAAGGGAAATGTTACTAAATAACCTTTTTACACCCATTTTGGGACTAATTCATTCTTCATTCCAGCAGTTCCACTAGAGATACGCCAATAGAAAAAGTTCTTTGCTGCAGTTAAAAACGTATCTGTCTTCCCCTTTTAAAGATTGTAATTTTGAGACAGTGGTAAGAAGTGGTATGATGATCCAAGTGCTGGGTGTTCCACTGGAATCTTTAACAATCATTTGATATTGCTGTTACTGGCTTTTTTCCTGCTTCTCTGCAGGCTGTGTTTTGGATGTCCTCTGTAGGTATCTTTTCTAACAATATCTCTGTATTTAACTGAGTGATCATTGTTGATTTAGAATCCAGCAATTAGTTTGTTCCTTCTGTTGTTTAACTTGTGTCAGTATGGGATTTAATCAGTTGTGGCATTGCCTTTCCGCTTAGTGGTATTGGATCTTCTCAGGGCATCATTAACTTAGAAATAAATACCTCTGAATGTTTGGATGTGAACCATGTTTTCATAGATTTTGTAAAGTGTCTAGCTGTCAGAAATTGTACGTTAGGACCTGGTCTCTAATAGATTCCATGTCCTTAACAAATAGCAGTTTAGATGAGAAGCAGTAACATTGGTTAGTTAGATAATTTGGTCAAAGTGACACTGTTTTAGCAGAGTTTGAATTTAAATGCCATTCTTTTGAGTCTTTTGATTGTTAGCCCCAAGATCCTTTCTCATTAATGAAAGATGAGTTAAATTACTATCATGCTAAAAGCAGCTTTAGATAGTGTAAGTAACATGGATAGTTATTGCAGGAATTCCTTCTTGCTAAGCTGCAAGGGAAAGACCTCTTCTGGCCACGTGGCTGCTGTGTGTCATCCTCAGTTACATGGTATGTTGCTGCTCTTGAATTTCAGATGCAAGTTGCAGCACCAGGCATCTTCTCCTGCAGGGATATCTCTTGATCCTGGTACTCCTACTAAGCCTAGCTACATTCGCAGTGCTAGCCTTCCTGCTGAAAGCCATCTGGTGACCTGTGCAGATGCTACTAAAGTTTCCTGCAAGAAACAGTTGGAGTGTCTGGCACAGCTCTATTCCTCATGTATAGCAGGTAAAGATCCAGAAGATGTGAGACTGACCTTTCTTTGAGCTTTGAACTTGCATGTGTATTGGGAGGGGGATGAGAAGTGTAAGTTGTGGGACAGTTACAGTGTACAAACAACATCTGGAAAAATAAACTAAGCCAATACAGCTATTAGAATAAATGGATACTAGGTAAAAGTTTAGGGAAGGAGGTGAACCTGATTCAGTACTCTGAGCTGCAGTAGGCTGAAGTTGTATGGTCCTGTCTGAACCCAGATCCTTCCCTAACACGTCTTCCCTATAATACCCGTACTGATTTATACTGTGGCTGTGTGGGGGGACGGAGTTCTTTGCTGGCTGTGCAATAAAGTAGGTATTTATCTTTTCAGCTTTATTTATTAAAGCAGGTCAATATTGAATACACACCTTTAGTATCTCATTTCCTCTCTTACAGAAAACCTGGTACCAAATATTTTTCTGGAGCTCTTTTTTGTTCTGCAGCTGTTGACATCTAAAGGCACTTCTACTGCAGAAGATGGGGATAGTGACCTTGAACTCAATGAAAGAGGTAAAGGTAAGCAGTAGTATTGAGGGGAAAGAATGTTACTTCCATGGCGTGATAATGTGATACAGAGCAGTTCCCTTTAGCTTGGACAGTTCGTCTTAAATTCCATAAAAGTGCCTTCTGACCACTAGGACTCATCTGAGATGCTGACAAAAATCATGTACGTATGGGAAGTGCTTCCACAATATAATAGAGTGGGGTTGTAGGTGGTTTGCATCTGATTTTCTGTGATGGTGTCAGATTGCTGTAGCTTCTTGTTAAGGCTGACTTTCAGAGAGAAGGATGGATATGCTAAAGTCTCTCCTCCACTGGTCCTTGCATCTCAAAAGTGCTGTTGAGCTGTTATAAGCTGTTTAAATTTAAGGTTGGATTAGGAGTGCACAGGATACGTCCATATAGATGTGTATTTGTTGGGGTTTTTTTTGGTCAAATTCAGACTTAAGTTTGATGCAGTGAGTGCTTTATGGATATAAAAAAAACAAAGAGTAGCTTTAAGGCAAGACACACACACACCCCCAGATGCCCCAGTTTGATTGACCTGTGTTCTGCCAGTCACTGATTCTTAGGGCTGAGATTAGGAACAAAACTCACCAGCTACAGGAACATCAGTTGATGCCTGATCTACTTTTTGTAGAGAGTTAGCTTTCCTTGAGAGTTAATTGCTGTTCTTTTAGTTTATGAATGGTGACAGGTGCTGTTGTTTCATGTTTCTTTTTTTTTTTCTCCTTAGATGCATCAGGGAGACAGCATTTCCGAAGTGTGCACAACTGTGTTTATTTTGCTGTTCAAGTCTTGGATTATCAGTATGAGTGAGTTGCTTATTTCTTTTTCTCTCCCTCTGCTTGTGTCTGCAGAAGTGTGTGAGATTAAGCAAGTGTGCTTGGATTTGAGAGCTCTACCACTTACAGGCATAGGGTTGTTAATTTTCTCTCAGAACATACAACTTGACAAGGATTTGGATGTCTGTGAGTCTTCCTCGCACTTATCTGTCTACTGAACTTCAGTCTAATTATGCAGGAATGGGAAAGTCATGAGATGCAGCAATAAAAAATGTCCCTAAAGATGCTGGGTGCCTGGGGCTTAGAACTCTGCTTGGTAGTCTCATAAAAAATGAGCATAAGTGTTTCTTTATGTCTGATCATGTGTTGTTTATGTCTGTCTCTGTTTTATCCGTGTTGTCTTGGCAGAATTATTTCCCGTTTAGAAAAGGGGATGCTGAAGCTTTTGGCTGAAAACGAACGGATTGCATCTTTTTCTCCCAGCTTGCATGAGAGGCTCAGGCGGGCTTATGAAAGCAGCACAGCCAAGGTAAAAATTGGCAGATCTCAACTGACTGTTGCTTCAAACCTTTGTGTTGTTGCTCCTTTATTTGTGATGGCTTTAATGTTAAATCTTATTCCTTCCACTGTATCTTGTCATGTCATCTTTGGCAAGTGTCCAAAAGCTACTTTTTTTCTGGTCAATGGGCAAGTGAGTTGCTAACTCCAGTGATTGTTAGCACTGATTTGCCACTGGTAGCCTTGCATTGTGCTCCAGGCTCTGACCTCAGCCAGTAAATCTGACAGCATCAAGTTTCACTTTGGAGATCTCAGAAGAATGGTTGGTTAGATGCAATATCAGAATGTAGTTTGGAAGAAGTGGGTTTGTTTCATAGCTACAGACTCCTTTTAGGCAAATGAAGCTTTAGTGGAGATAATGTAGCTTGTGAAAACTGGTTTCCTGATCCAGTCATTTGGGTTAGGGAACTAAAGCTGGGTGGTAAGAATGTGTGTTTTGTATCTTGTATTTTGTGTCTTGTTTCCTCCATCTTTTAAAAATGGAGACTACTCTTGACAAAGAAAATACAGTGTATTTCCTGAGACTAGGGCATGTCAACAGCTGAGCTTTTTAGTTAAAGCTGTAAGTGGAGGTCTCTTGTTACTTGAAGATGTAGACTTCTCAAACAGGAGAAAGAATAATAATACAGGAATTGGCACCCACTATCCTGTGTTCTCTGGAGCTTTACATTGAAGGTACACTGAGGCTGTTTGCAGATCGTTCTTCCTATGCTGTATTTATATTAGTTGTAATCTGTTGTGCAGAAATTTCTTAGACAAGATGCTTCCACTCATAATGTTGTGTCATTCTGCTGCTGTAGTGTAATGTAGCTTGTAAAACTGTTGGTGTGTACTAGCAGTTAGCAATTGGGATGTGGCTATTGTCTGAACAGCTCAACTAGTGATACTTGGTTTCCTCATCACGTCTTTTCCGTGCTTTTTCTAGGTCTCAGATTGTTGGATAAATTAAGAGACTTATGTTAGTCTAATGGCTGCCTTTATATTTTTCACAGGTGTCTCTCCTGCTGCCATGCTCTGTGCAGTCTGTTTCCTTCCAGCCAGAAACTGACAATCGCTCCAACTTTCCTAGTGACAGAGCATTTCACATATTTAAGAAACAAAGGTAAATTTCTTCTACTGCTACTGTATTTCTCACAGGGTATAATCTTTCCATGACTGTGAACAAAGGATATTAAGAATGTCTCATGTATTCTATATGCAGTAGAAAAACTTTGATTTTCACCTCAGTTAAGAAAAAAAAGAAGTCTCTGTCCATATTGACTGCAGGAGCTAAATGCTTAATGTCTTTCGAAAAGAACAGTCAAATTCTTGAGGAAGTATTGAGACATATGGCAAATACCAGTACAGTGTCACCCTCCTGGGTTGCTTCTGCATATAAATCTAGTATGCTTTGATTCTTCCTGCCACCTCTATCTGTGCTTGCAGCAACAGGGTGAGGGGAGCATGGCAAGTTTTCTTGGTCCTTTTTTCTCTCCTCATAGGTATAATTTCATGTGGCTTATTCTTTCTTGACTCTCAGTCATCATGTCTGGTAATGGGTGTTTTGGTCATTCCATCAGAGCTTGGCCATAACAAGCTTAAGCACTTGCTGTCAGAGACATGAGAAATGGAAACTTGCTGAAGTACCACTAACACTGAGTTGTGCAAAGGTATCTGAGTTCTTAGAGGCTTGAGTTATTTAATCTGAGATAGATTCTTGCTGGGGAATTCAGGAGTGATTGAATATTCAGTTGTTCTTACTTCAGATTTTGAAGGGTGGGAATTCATGCCCTTAAATATCTTGATTCACAGGGATATATTTTATGAACTGCTGCGTGAATGGGAGGATAACCATGAAAAAACTGGCTGGGACTTTGAAAGAGTTTTGGGCAACAAGATCAGGTAGGAGTCTTATGCAGCTTCATATAGCTCTTTAATGTAGCTAAATTGCTGGTGCAGTATGCTGGACTTGGCCTCTGAAGTTCCATGTTCTCCCTGCAATCTTCTGCACTAATCTGTAGGAACCTGTTGCTGCTTGGAAGATACTGTCCATGTACCAATTTAAAAGTATTAACTGTTCTGTTAAGGAAGTAAGCCATAAATGGCAAGGGCCTAATTTGATCAATCTCTTTCTGTCTCTCTTCTCTGTGACTAGCAACAGAGAGCCACTCTCAAAACCAGTATGTTGTGGTCTGAGCACTGTGCGTTTCATGTTTCCAATGCCTCACTTCTTTTAACCATGTACAAGTGTATTATATTCTCAGAAGCTTTTAGTTCTAATTATTTGAGAGGAATCTAGTGTATTGGCTCTGAAAATAAGATAAATGTCACTCTTTCCTGTTTAAGCCAATTTATTTATTCATTTATTGTTTTATCAGAATAGAGTATATATGGTCTTGGAAGCAGTTGCCTTGCACGTTTCTGTGTTAATCTTAACCATCAGCCTGCTCAATTTACATGTATGTAGGTGACTTTCACTGCAGGGGCAGAGCAAGGTCCATGTGGGGCTCAAGGCTTTCTCAAACTTAAACTGAGCAATTTTCTTTCTCTTTAGGCATCAGAAGTACTGCTGTTGTTGTTTTCTTACTTGCATATGTGTGAACTCTCAACTCACTGCTCTGCAGAGGGGAGAATAGGAGCTGAATGAGTTGATTTTCTTCCTAAATAACAGCATTATTGCAGGAAGGGAAGAGAGCAGTTTAACTCCAGACCTGTGTTTGCTCAGTGAGAATTTTTGCTTCCATGGTCAGCAAATGGGAAACCTGGTTATAAAGATCTTGCTTTTTGCAGTGGCCTCTGGAGAACACTTTCTTAAAAGCAGTTATTTTATGCTTTTGGTATAGTTTGAGGTTCCAATACTTCTTTTTGTACTACAGAGATCCAGTCAGCATTTTTGTGATTTTCCTTCACAGGGCCATGATGGCTCACCTGTCTGCAACCTGCAACCACAGCCATTTTGCCAGGCTTTTTCAGAAACAGCTTATCCAGGTAAATTACTTGTTCTTTTAATGAAGATGCACATCAAAGCTGATTTGATCCTCCCTTGACCTGACAAAACAAACTGTGTCTTGCAAGTTTCTTTGAGATTTTCCTATTGAAACATTTTTGGGAGAGCCAAATTTTTGGGATGGGAATTTCCTTCCTTTTCCAGAAATACAAATCAGTGATAAATAATAATGACCTCTGTGTGAATCAGGCATAAATCAGGAATAAGGTGTGCTGAGCACATCATAAGCTGTAAGAATTCGTTCTTCATGGTTATTACTTTTGACATGTATCCAATGCAGTTCTCAGATATGTTGATTAGAAACATTGAGCGTATTACCTGCAAAGAGTTTTTTCCTGTGTAACACTGCAACAGCCTCTTTTTTATGTAGTATTGCTGTTGTAGTTTGCAGGGTCTTTTTGGCCAGTTTCAAGCATCATCTGACTTCACTGTAACTTGAAGAAATGAAGAAAGAAAAGATGCTTCTGACTGAAGTATAGATATCAGTGTGTTCTCTATAAATGGCTGGCTTCTTGGTGAATTCCTTTTGGATAGCAAAGCAGACATAAAACAGTACTGCAATGTAGTGATTCTTTGAGCCTTTAGTAGTATCTTTATGTTTGAGGGAAGGACGTATCTTTAACTTTATTTAACTCTGTGGAAACTCCAGAAAAACCTAGTGTGGGAATGTATAGTGCAGTACACAGTCTTTGGAGGCTGAGCTAAAGATCTTCCTACTGAGTGGTTCGTAAAGACTGTGCCAGTGATGTGTTCTCTGCACATATCCACGTGTAGCCTGCTAGATATGCCTGAGTTAGATGTATAGGGTCAGAATTCCATCTATCAAGACATCTAGGCCACCTGTTTATAGCCAAGGTGGGTAACATGTTTTAGCATGTGGAAGAGAGATTTTCTGTACATGAGCTGCCTGAAAAGGTCATGCTTGGATTACTCTGAAAACCAAGTCTTGCAGAAGGGAGAATATGTGGCGTGAGAGATGAAGTGAAATGATGCCTTATTACAGATTCCCTGCTTCCCTACTCTTTCTGTCTCCTGAAGATGTGTAAAGGTCCAGTTGGTGGTGGTGCAAGCTCGGGAGACACCCCAGACCAGGATGTCCTCAATATGCTTGGTTCTGATAATCTGAGCCGTCTGAAGAGGCTGCAGGAAAGATTTGTTGTTCCTCAGAGCATCAGAGGACCATGTCCACCCCCTTCGTTCCCAGGGTGCCAGCAGTTCTTCAGGGACTTCATCCTCAGTGCAGGAAGGTTAGCTGTCATGGCTGCTGTTTGCTTTGTGGAATGTGCATGCAAGTGGGGAACATCAGCATGTTGAGCGTTGTATGGAGAGCTTGGGGCATGGTGTAACCTAGACAAAGCATAGCAGAAATGTTTTTAAGCTGCATAATACCACATCTGGTCTTCTTGGCCGACACGCATGGTGATCATGTTAATAAGCAGGTTGTGTCTGGGGCATGGAATGTATTTGTATGCTACATTATGCTAGACCATATGGTAATCATATTCCTTCTGTAAAACCATAATATCTTGTCACAGGCCGTCAGTATTTCCCAGTGTCAAGGCATGCAAGGCTGCCTAACAAGGGCCCTGGACTGGCCAAGTGTTTCTTATGTGATAGTGCATGAAGCTAAGGAGTTACAGGATAAAGGTTCATGGTTTTGTTTAATAAGTTTTTCATAATCCACAGCATGGAGGAGTTGTGATCTATGGGAGATTTAAATCTTCAGTTAGTTTACCGCTTCCTGCTTCAACAGATCCATATTATTACCCTTATGCTGGGACTTACTAAATAGCATCTGTTAAAAAAAGTACAAAATAAGAGTGGAAAAGAAGGGGGTGTTAACCAGTACTAGACTTGTCCTTTGCTTTCTTGTCTGTCAGCCTGTTACACTGGATGTGTGCTGATGCTTGTAACAACTCAGGAGACAAGCGTGAAATTTTGCAGTGATAGTTGAGGTTAGTTGAGGTTTTCAACCCAGTCTGACTCATCTTCATCTTCTACTGAAGTTACCAGTTCAATCAGCATCTGATGGATAGTCTGTGCCTGAAGATACTTGAACTGAATGGCCTTACTCTGGTGGAGCATGAGCACAGTGATGGGGAAGCAGATATGGATGAGCAGGTACGCTTGTTTTTCACAAACGCGTCTGGCAGGAATTTCCTCAAGCTGTTCCAGTACCTGAAGAATTACTGGCTTGATTGTGAGTTGCCTGGAGTTTTTACTGCTGTATTTACAAGAGCTGCTTCGTTTAGTTTTGTCGTAACTTTGCAACTTTGTTATGGATGTCTGAGCCCCTTGCTGTTTACTTGCATGCTTCAGGGTGCTTCATAGTACTGTGTCATAAGAGATGATGCACAATAGTTTGGAAAGAGACTCTTTTTAGGACGTTTGTACCCTGTGTTAGATCCATGAAGTAGCGACTCCAGTTGTTGCATTCAGGTGCAATAGCTCCTTGTTGCTTTTCCATGTATGAAGATCTTAGTTAGAATGGATTTGTAGTCAGCCCTGTTTATATCTGTTTCTTCACTCATCTGTCTCTGTCAGAGGTGTTATAGCTTATAGCCTATTACCAAAGTAGCAGCCAAAGGTTCATGAAGACTCGCACAGCAGTAATGGTATGAAGGAGGCAACATGAGATTAGCTCTCTGCCGTCTCATTTACTCCAAAGTTGTTAATATGAAGATATGATTCAGCAGCTGCTTGTTTTAGAAAGCTCTTGAATTAATTTCTTCTTGCTGAAAGTGAAGCAGTGGAGGCAGAAGCAATTTAAAATGCTTGATAAATATGTATTTTGGAAACTTACCTTTATTAAAAGCAGTGATGAAGGTATGTGGTCCTTTTACATGAAGGGAGTGGAAGTTTTCTGTTGGTAGTTGCTTTGCCCCAGCTGGTTTTGTTTTCATTTCAGGATGAAAAGAAACGTTTCACTGTGGTCCTGTTAAGCCTGCGACTCCTCGCCAAGTTCCTGGGCTTTCTTGTTTTCTTGCCATATCGCACTGTGGAGCAACCAACTAGAGACTTGCAAGACTCTGCAGTAGCCTTGAGAAACCAAGTAAGAAACCAAACTTCTAAAAAATCCAGTGTGACTTTCTGCTTGACAAGCAGGTTTTCTAATCCCAGGAGTGGATTTTGAATAGTTATGCCCTTTCAGAGCAAGCCTGTGGTTCCTGTGATGATGTTGTACTGTTTTGTGCCCCTACTGCGTATTCTGGGGTTGGGAACAAAGGACAGAGGAGATTGTGGAAGCTAGAAAAGAGTGAACAATGCATTGATGGTGAAGTACTCAGCCTTCTGTTATTTCTGCTAATCTGGGCTTGTCATACCAGAGCTCTGACCTAGCTAAGAAGACTTGTATTTATAGCATAAAATCCAGCTACCAAGAATGTTTTTGGTTTAGTTTCACACCCATCTCCTCACAGTATGTCATACTGAGTGCAAGGAGACAGGGGTTAGACCTTGACTCCACTTGCACGTAGTCAGACTTATAGCTGTTATTTTGAAAGTCCCAGTGGGACCTCTGGTTGCCATCATAGTGTGGTTTTTACCTCTGCTCATGTGCAAAGAAGCACAAAGAAACCAGTTCCTGGTTTTCGTTAGCCCAGAAGCCACCTCTTATTTGTACAGAAGATGAAATCCTAGAAAGAAAAGTCAAAATATAGATTAAGTTTTCCTTTAAGTATCAAAAGGTAACTTGAAGCTGCTGCTTTGACTTCTGTTGTCCGTTAAGACCCTGCCTGTACTGGATGTATTGAAGCTTCTGAGACAATCTATTCAGGATCATCGTTCCATCCTCACTATTCCTTGGATTGTGGAGTACCTTTCACTTGTGGATCATATTGCTCCTTTCCTTGATTACTACAGGAAAGTATTTTGTCTCTTGCTGCAGGTATACAGGTAAGAGCCTGGGAAAGGATACTTGTTAAGAACTTTCCTGTGAAGGTCTGCTTGCTTAGCTGAGGTGCCTGGTGTTTGAGAATGCACACTCTCCCTAGTTTGAGAACTACTTTTAAGTTACAGAAAGCTGCAAAGGGAGCACATCCTAAACTCAAGAGATTAATATTTAATTTAAATATGTGTTTTTTCATTAAGTAAACAAAATTCTTTAAATCCGTGTTCACTCATTCTGCATTTGCAGCTGTGAATTTAAAACCTTGAATTTGGATCTTAAGCCTACAGGGTCTCCTATGACTAAATAATGCCCTAGTTTTCTTTTTATATACATGAGCCACTGGTCAGGCAGACAAATAAGGAATGTGTATATGGTGACAAATAGAATAATTAGAAAGTGGTTTGGGAATTCTTTTCGTGATGAAAATAGAGCTACTGAAATCTAACACTGTCTCTTGCCTGGCAGGTTAATGGTCCTTTCTGAAGATAAGGAGATGAGTTTCCTGAACAAGCTGCTGATCCTTGCAGTTCTGGGTTGGCTTTTTCAGGTAGTCTCCTTCTGGACACAGTTCTTCCCTAAAGAAAAAGCAGGACACAGAATTCAATAGAAAATAGTATTTAAATGGATTAAAAAATCCTCTATATTCTAATGGAGAGTTATTTTCCTTTAGTGGAATTCTGTGAAGCGAGATATATTTTCTTCCCAATAGGAATTGTAATTGCTGCTGAAATACATTCTGTACTTACAAATCTGCATCCTTGTAATTAAATTGTCAGCTGATTGCTGTTAGAATTGGAAGCTCTTGTGCAAAGATGGAGTGCTAGCTGGCAGCCTTGAATTACTGGGGAATTTTTGTCTGATAAAGGGATGGTATATGGTGAACTTCAAAAATCCTTTTTTTGCCTCCAGTTGGAAATAAGGTAACTGCTTAGCAGGAACCTTTTGGAAAGGTGCAAGATGCCCTAAGTGAGGGTAAGGAAGGTGGCTTATGTTATTGTGATCAAACTAAGTCTTTAATTTTATGGAAAGACTCTTCTTAGGGCAGAGAGGGTAGTGGGCACTAGCTGTTTTTTTGTGGGCGGGAGGTTGATAAGATTTTATTGTTCTCTGTCAGAAATGGTGTTAAGTTACTGACTGCTTTTTGGGTTGTAACTGCTGGGAGTTTTGTTTCAGGTTCTATCAGTCCCTGAAGAGTTGTTTTTTACCACTGATGCCAGGCAGGAGCAGTTGATGATGAATACTGTGACATCTGCTCAGGCTTTGGTGAGTTAGAGCAGTAGCATGTCCTCTCAATCTGTTGATGAGGGTGGACCTACCATGTCTTCAGGAGTTTCAGATTTTATCAGGAACTTGACTTCAATGCAGCTGCATTCAGCATACATAGGACAATGGATGTTTGTCCAAGTACCTCAATTGCGTTGCATCCTGGATTGTAAACTGTGTGTTACAGCTCTGGGGCTTTTGTCAGGCAGAGCTGTCTCATCTGCTGCAATGGCTTGCAGAATAGGTGCCCAGTTATGGTGGAGGATTGCTTTTTGTTGTTGGGTTTGGTACTGCCCCCCCTCATGAGTGAACGCTGCCCATGTGGATGTGGTCTGAAGTTACTTTTCCTCTGTGCCTCTGGCTGTGCTGTGTAATACTGGGGTGACATTACTCCACAGTGCAGTTCGAGTGAGTCCGGGTGATGGAGACACCTGTGGAGGTATAATGCATAGCAGATGTGTTGCATTTATTCTCCTCCATGGGTAGGTTTTTCTTTCATGAGTAGCAGCTGTGGCAGCAGTCCTGGTTCCACTTTGTAACTATCAGTTTCCAGTTGGGCTTTGGCAGTGGTCAGAAGGAAAGGTTCAGCTACACTAACTGCATGGAGAGCACTCACTGTGTGTTACAGGGCTGGACTGAACACTTGGGCTGCAAAGTTCCTAATCTTACTGTGGATTTGGAATCCAGTTATTTTTATTGTTTTCATGGAAAGGCAGCTGTGAAACCTGCCTGCTTCCATGCATTTGGGATTTCCAACTTGCTGAAGACTGTCTCCTGCTGTGTCCTTTCAGCATTTCCTTCCTTTTCTCACCAGGACTCTGTACCCTTGGTGGATCAGCAGTTACTTTATACCTGCTGTCCCTATCTTGGTGAGTATTTTATTTATATTTGCTAAAGAAATAAAATATATTAGTATATATTTATTAATATTTTTTTATTTGTCTTTTGGCATTGTGAGTCCTTGGATCATCTTTCTTACCCCTCCACACAACTTCAGGTCTCAGTTGTGCATGAATCAACCTTGTAGTTGTATTTCAGTTGTATTGCAGAAGCTCATGCAGCTGTGAATAGAAGCTGGGGAAGGGTGGCTACACAGTCAGGGTAGTTGATCTACAGAGCTTGAATGCAGAGGGAAAGGGAGACTGATTCTCTCATAAACTATAAGGAAGCATTATAAAAAGTAAGCATACAACTTTTCCACCCCTAGGTATAGGGAGAGGTGTTTATATTGTGAGGGATGCCTTGATCCTTAAGAATATTTCTGGTGTTGGGCAGAGGGAAAGAATTCTTTTATGCCCTGGTGCTTTATCAGGTGGTTGAGATCTTTTTCCTGGTATGTGACTGCCACTGGTGAAATCCTTCTCTAGACAATAGAGTCCCAGATGGTGGGGTGGTGCTCTGCTTCTTGGGATTTAGCTGTTAGGAAAACTGTGGTAAACCTGCATGATGAAATCTAGGGGTTGAATGTGTCCTCAAGCTTTTTCCCAGATACTTTCTCCTGACCCTGTTGGAATTGTGTGTAACTCTGCTTGCCTTGTTGTCCCTGTGGACTTTACAGTTCTTGCTTGCCATGCTGAAAGGGGTGCATAGAAATGACTGCTCCCTAATCCTTCTGAGCAAGTCCTACTATGTGCCAGGGAGCTTTTCGGAAGCCTCCTGTTCTGTCTCGGGAGCCTCTCCTGCCTTGCTGTGCTCTGCTGGTTAAATGTGTGGAATGGCCCTCTGCTTTTCTGAAACTTCTGTTTTGACTGAAGCAGAGGGAATCTGCTCTGGAATCAGGACTGACGACTTGAAAATCTCTCATGAGTTTTGGTTTATTCCCTTGCCTATGGGGACAGTGACTGTTTTTGCATGTTTTTCTGTACAGGGGAGCTGCGGAAACTACTTGCCTCTTTTGTGGCTGGTAGTGGAGCAAAAAATGGTGGCTTTATAAGGAAAATCACTCCCACAGCTGCAGAGTCCTTGGCACCCAAAGCTTCTGTCACACAGCGGAAACTGCAGGTAATGAACTCAGGGGATCACAAGGGGAAGCAGGTCAGGAGAAACTGCTTGTGTGAGGGTGGGGTATACAGTGATGTCCTAATGACAGGGAAAGAAAAGCATGGGCCTAGGCAGCAGGGAATGTTGTGTGTAACGGTCAAGTATCCTTACTCCTCATTCTTTTATAGTCATGTGGTTGGGATACCATGTGGGTGTTGAGATCTTTCAGTAAACTCAAAGAGGGGAGGTTTAGATTAGATATTAGGCAGAAGTTCTTCTCTGTGAGGGTGGTGAGGCCCTGGCCCAGGTTGACCAGGGAGGCTGTGGCTGCCCCATCCCTGGCAGTGTTCAAGGCCAGGTTGGATGGGGCTTGGAGCAACCTGGTCTAGTGGAAGCTGTCCCTGCCTCTACAGAGGGGTTGGAACTGGATGTGCTTTAAGGTCCCTTTCAACCCAAACCATTCTATGCTTCTGTGGAGCATTCTTGCAATTGGAGCAACTAACCTATTTCTGTCTGCCTGATAAAGGGATGGTATATGGTGAACTTCAAAAATCCTTTTTTTGCCTCCAGTTGGAAATAAGGTAACAAAGGTTAATGTAAAATGTTAATATGTTTCTGATACTCTGTTTTGGTTAGATTGTAGCCATGCCTTCACTGAAAGAATGAACTGTGTATGACCCTACAAGGATTACCAGCCTGTAATTAAAAGAAGATCCTTTCTTTCCAAAAACAAACCCTATGTGGTGACTCACTACTCGTAGGTGCTGTCAGAACATTTCCATTCTTCCCTTTACTAGGCGTTTGCTTTTCTAGTGTCATAAACCCTGATAATGAGCTTTGGGTTAAATGGTTAGTAGGAACTAGGGAACAAATGTTTGACAGGGATGTTGAATGTTACAGTAGAAGAAGGTTGTAGCTTAGGGAAATTGTGTTCCTTTCAGCACAATTCCAGATAGAAGTTCTGTCCATTCCTGTGTTGAGGAGAGGAGGATATGGGTAGAGTCTTTTACTCCATTCTAGCACTCTTCTTTTGAACAGGTAGAGTTGGAACAGGCCTTCTTCCACAACCAGCCTCCCTCCCTACGCAGAACAGTTGAATTTGTGGCAGAGAGGGTGGGATCCAACTGTGTTAAGCATATCAAGTAAGTGCTGGTGATCTGTTCTGTAACTTAAGAAGTAACTTTAATGAAGCAAAGAGTTAATCCTTTAAAATTGTGTTTATGGGGGTGAAGGAAAGCTTCCCTCAGAGTATGCTGGATAACAGAACTCCAAGGCTGTATAAGGCTGTGATAGTGAAGTCCAGCAGCATGTGATTGCCATCATAGAGGGGAATTGTGAAAGGATGCAGAGGACGGGTGTATGACTGTGGAACATTTGGAATGTGAACACAGTAATGCATTTTGAGATTTGACAGCTCTTTCATGTTACTTTCAGAATGTTCTTGCTAATGATAGGAAAATCTTGGGATTAGAAGGGACCTTTGGAGGTCATCTGATCCAAACTCCTGCTCAGAGCAAGGCCAGCTTTCAAGTTAGATCAGGTTGCTTGCCACCTTTTCCACTTGAGGCATGAAAATCTGATGGGGACTCAGCAGCCTCTTCGTACCATGTCCCAGTGCTTAATTTTCCCAGGCTTTGTGAAAACTGCTTCCTTTTATCTTATCAGAATTTCCTTTGTGGGCAGCTTGTGTGTTGCCTGTCAACCTTTAGCTGCACACTTCCTGGGAGTTTCTTGTTCTGTCTTCTCTGTAACCCTTCCTTCACCTTCCTTTCTTCTCCAGGCCAAGTGGAACCGTCTTCTCCAGTCTCCTTGTAGGTCATGTGTTTCAGCATCCCAGCTACCTAATGATTTTTTTTCGTTTCTCCTTCAGTCACACGAATTGTCTGTAGTTTTCTCATACTGGTGTCCCAAAGATGGACACATTACTCCAGATGCAGCTTCGCAGTGGCAAGGGAAGCAGTAATTTCACTTGACTTGCTGGCTGTGGTGTTGCAAACATCAGCCTAGTTTAAGGCTGGCCTTCTTTGGACACTGCTGACTCATTTGGCTTGCCTGCTGGGAACTACAGATCCTTTCCTGCAGAGCTGCTCCATAGCCAGTAGACCCCAGCCTGTACAGATGGACAGTCATCACCCCATTGTCAGCCCCTTCCTCTGCCCTCTCAGTCCTTCTGAATGGCAGCCCATGCCTAAGCATATCACTCATAAACTTGCTGAGAGTTTGTACTGTCCTTTTGTCCAACTTAAAGACATTAAACAGTATCAGCCCACAAGGAATGTTGGTGGTGGTAGTGGGCTGCTGTTGATATCTTTGAACTTCTGACTGCTATCCACTGAGAGCATAAGGGTATTGCTGCCAGAAAAGATACCTCTAACCACATATGTTTGTATTAAAACCTAAAGGCTTTTGACTCTTTGATCTTCATACCTTCATTGTTGCCTTCTTCCTTACAAAAAGAACAAGGAGATTAAATGTAGTGTAATTAATTCTTTCTTAGCAGAGTAGTGTATTGCATCTGAGATGGGTATCCTCCTAAATAGAGGAAACCAGTTGGTAACAGTGTGCACTGCTATTGATTGTACTGATCTCAGTCTGTGAGATTGTTCTCGTATTTTTACAGAGCAACACTGGTAGCAGAGTTGGTTCAAAGGGCTGAAGTCATGTTGCAGGATAAAGTGAAGGAGGAGGATGCCAATCATGACAAGCTGCTTGAAGAGGTGTGCACTCATCTCTATGAGGAAGGAGCCCAGGCACTCATCAAAGGCAGAGAGTAAGGAGGAAAAGTTATTTAAACTTGTGCCTTCCCTTCTCTTCTCACTACAGAATCTGTAAGCCTAATTTGGCTTGGCCTGCTCGGGGTCTGATAATTATAAACCCTGACCTCTGCTCTTCTTGGGGTGATTGTCTGCTGTGCCTCCAGCCAGTTAATGCTGTATCTGTAGGAATGAATAAAGGTGCTATGTATCCCTCTGCAGCCAGCTCCAAATGGACATCCACTGCAGCTCTTTTATCTCCCTGTCGTTGGAAAACTGAATATTGCAGCTTGGTAGCTTACAATTGCTCTATTGTTGTCTGGTTCTTTTAGTCTGACTTGTTTCACTGCAGTCTTCCAACTGGTTTTGACTGTAAGAGAGCGTGTGAAAGTTGCTGCATTAATGAACCTCTGAGTGCTGTCCAAGAACTTTGACTGTGGCACTTTTTCTTTCTTTCCTTGCAGATTTTGCAAAAAGAAAGGTCCTGAGGCGATAAGGGTGTTGTTGCCAGAAGAGACATCTGCAGCAGTATGTATTCTCACTAAAACTTACTAAAGGCCTGGGTCATTACTATTTCTCCCATTGCTACTTCACTTATCCCTTAATGACTTAAGACAATGGAATCATTGATACCTCATTAATAAGAGGAAGAGCTCACCTCTGCCAGGCTGCCTTGGATATTCTGGCTGAAGTGATGCTCTAGCCAATAGCTAATTGTTGAATGGTGTATAAATTACATTACTTTGCAAGGATAATGCTTTTGTTTTAGTATCAACTTCACCAAGAGTTGGTGGGGTTTGTGTAGGGTTGATGAGGTTCAGGAAATCAAAATGGGTCAGTCCTGTTGCTCAGAGTAGCAGTTCCCATAGAGGTGGTGATGCCCTGTTTAAATGTTGCATGCCAAAATTAAGCATTTTTTCCCATCTAGACTTCTCTCTGACTTCTCACTGACTGTAGTGGTGTGGCTGGTGGTAAATCTCCTATTGCTTGTTATCCTCCCTGTAAAGGTTTTAAGTTGCGCGGAAGACATTGCAGTGGATCTGGCTACTGAGAAAGCCTGTGGCTGGCTTTCTGCTAACATTGCAGGTGAGTCTCTTTACCCTCAGTTGAGGCTTCTAACCTGTGTCTTGTGCTCCCTTTTTGAGATCAAGGGTAGAATTTATTCCAGTGTTATAAAGTACTTGGTCCCACTCATTTTTCTTGTAGTGGGAAGCATGCAGTTGCTCTGTCCCTCCTTGTTTAGGAATAAGAGGAATGATTTCTAGCTCCAAGAACCTTCTTCAGGGATTTTTCAGGCTTGGCACCATGTAAGTGATTCTTAGTTATGGAGGCTCATAGGATGGTGAGAATGAATGCTGTGGAAAGCTGATTCTGAAAATGTCATCTAGGCTGAAGTTGTCTCAGCACTTCAGATGTATGATAGAGACAGCTGGTCCACATGCACAGAATGCTTCTCAAATCTTCTGTACAAGCAGCTCCTCTTGGACTGGGTGTGTCTTCTGCAGGCTGAAGGCAACTACAGTCCTACTCTGTAATAGTGCTCTGGCAACTCTTCAGAATCTCTGAAAACCCATTCTTTTAGGAGGTTGTGCCAAGAATCTGGGGAGGGATATGCAGCACCGTTTGCAGCAGCAGGAGTTTAGTGTTTTGGATGCTGGTCAAAACTTATTTTTGGTAGAAAACATACGGCTTCCATGGGCACAGTGGTTGAACTGGTATGATCACACTGATTCAGCTTTCTGCTTTGACATCGCTTCCTGGCTTCACTACTGTGTTCAGTAAACCTGATGAAGTATTTTGATGTCAAATGAGATGAGTTGCCAGTGGTACCTTGTGGTAATGGTGGCTGCTTTCTATAGCTGTGAGTTAAGGTTCTCTCTCCACCCCTGCTCTGTCCATTAAATATAACAGGAACTCGGAGTAGGAGGGATTTGAAAGTATAAACTGTCCTTTCCTCATCCACCATGGCCCTCAGAACAAGAGGCTAATAATAGTCTGCCTTGCTGGAGAGAAAAGCTGAAGTAAACAGGATTTGTTCCCTGTTCTTTGTAGCACTAATCAAAAGAGAAGTGAAGGCAACCTTCAACAGAATGCTGAAAGTCCCAGGAATTCCCTTGCCCAGCGAGGATGCTCTGGAGTTGAGAAGGGACTGCCCTGCAGGCTGTCAGCACTGTGCTCCGTTTCCCTCCCAGATCATCAACGAGATTAAGGTTCATAGTGTTCAATTCCCACCTTGCCCTAAATCCATTTTTATTTTTCACATTGGTGTATGTTTGGGGTTTTTTTGGAGGTTTTTGTTTGTTTGTGTGGGTTTTTCTGTGTGTGCATTTTTTTGATTTTTTTAGGGGGATGTTCTGGTTCTAAGGAAATGGTTGTGATGAGCATTTAGGAAGCACAATGGAAAGGTCTCTTTTTCATCTCCCTGTTTGCTGTCTCTGAAGATCAGAGTTCCCTGGTCAGGAGTACTATCTCACATACAAGACTCCTGGTAGCATGGCAGTGGCTTCTTTGATCTGGGTATCATTGAAACCATAGTGTGGTGAGGGTTGTGTACAACTCTGTGCTAAAGAGTCAGCATATCAAAGTAGCCACTTTTTTTGCAGACCTGCTCATTTTATGGAGAGCCTCCTGGCCTCTATTTAGAGTGTTTCCTGTTGGTCCTTTCAGTTCTGTAGAGTTTGATAGACTGTCCCATCTTACCCACTAGGAATCTGACACTGAATTAAGCGTCAGATGAATCTACAAATCTGACAGATTTTTGCCAATCTGCATCTGCACCTTTATTCAGCTGTAACTAAGGAGAATCAGAATATCATAAAAAGAAGGTAATGGTGTGGTCTTCATTTCAGCCTTAGATCCAAGCAATTCTTTTTTTGTGGGGACACAAGAACTAGTGTGTGAAGTGTGTAAACACAAGTGTAAAATCTATGAACTGCTCTGTCACAGTATCACAGTATGCTGGAGATTGGAAGGGACCTCAAAAGATCATCTAGTCCAATCCCCCTGCCAGAGCAGGAACACCTAGATAATGTTACACAGGAATGTGTCCAGGCGGGCTTTGAATGTCTCCAGGGAAGGAGACTCCACAACCTCCCTGGGCAGCCTGTTCCAGTGTTCCGTCACCCTCACCTCCAAAGATTATGTTTGTGGAAGTGCAGGATGCTAATACGTAAATTACTGCTGTCTTCTTTCATCAAGGATGTGCTCTGTGTTGCTGTGGGCCCACGGGATGAGGGTGAAGTGATCGACTGCATCTGGCTGGAGTGCTTGCTGGGACGATTGAGTCAGACGCTTCGATGCAGAAAGGTAGAAGTAGTACAAAAAGCAACAAAAACATCCCCTTGGCCCACCTTGAGCTGTGTTCGTACCTGTAAACTTGTTACTTTGCCTTGCCTTACAGTTGAGTTCAGTGGAATGGTTTTTGTCAATGGGACAAAGTTACACTGCATTTTTTCATACTGTGTAGATTTGCTTCTTACTTAAAATTATCCTTTTGTGGATCCTCTTTTCATATCTGATCTTTTCTTGTCTTTTCAGTCTTTAATGGCCTCCTGATTACAGCTCTGTGCCTCTTGCTGTAAATTGCCTGTTCTTCTCTGATATTTTTATCCCTTGTGAAGCCCTGTTTTGTCCAGTCTGCAGTATGAGGACAACGGTACAACTGTGTTTTGTGTTTTCCAGTTCATGTGTCCCACATCAGAGCAGCAGCTGGCAAAATGCACGGTTGAGTTGGCTTCTTTGCTGGGTAAGTCAGTCATGATAAGCTATTTAAGACTCAAATCTGTTATTACAGTTCTCTTAAATCCTTGGGGTCAGAGATTTCATTATTTAGAACTCACAGATGTTTGATTCTCTTTGGTGTTATATAGTTTGCAGAGTTTTTTCTGTCAGTTCGGGTGGTTGCTCTTCCTCCTTTCCAGCTTCTGCAAAACAGCATCATATGTGACTAACCATCCTTCAGATCTGGTGTCCTTATTCACATCTCCATTGGGTTTTATTTATTTTATTTATTGATATCTTCATTTAAATATGTGATATGCTTTCCAGTATTTCTGTCTCCGAAAAGTTATGACTCCGGGTTTGGGTTTGGTTTTTTTTTCCCTAAAGTAAAGGCCTGTTATCTACGTTTTTATGGCTTTTTTAGGAATGGAAGTAGCTTGTTTTCTGTGTATTGTGACTTCTGTGAGCATTTTTGTGGGGTACCTTTTTTGTTTTGTTTCTTTCTCTCCCCCTTGCTCTAGTGTGTTAAACACAGTATTTTTCTCAATGGGAGCTAGTGATCTGGATGCAGGTCTTTTCCCTCTGAGCAACCTTCTAATTTTCTGGGGTTAGAACCTCCCTAAGAAGTTTTATATGTGGTTCATTCTTTCAGAAAGCAGTTCACATCTGAATATTGTGACATTTCATTCTGGGGGGCAGCAGTATAAACCTGCCTCATTCCGTCAGACTGTACCAAGGAGGATCTGGTGTCTTCTCTTTATGTTTAGCTGCAGTTAAACAATGTTCAGCTTCAGTTTCCTTTGTATACAACTTTACGTACAGTCAACAACTATTTAATTTGTTTATGGATTTAAATGTTGTCTTATTGTGTTACTCTCCTTTGGAGTAACACCTGGGTCCTTTTTTTATTAAATGTCTGACTTTTATTTAGTCAGTCACCTTCAAGACTTGGGCTATATGTCAACCAAATGGTATTCTTTATCTGAGTAATATGAATCTCTTCCTATGTAGCACTTGTTTATATAGTTTCAAAGCCCATAATTTTCTGTGTTTCTAAACTCCATTCCTCTCATGTTTCCTCGTTTACACTCACTGAGAGTTACTACTTCAGTGATGCCAGCTCTGCAAAATGTGCTGTTGGACCAAGATGATGACTATAAAAGGAAAACATGCAGCTATAGAAGTTCACTTTTCTTCTGTCTCTAGTTTCAGATCGTGTCCCTCTGCGTCTCAGGATCAAATCCCCAGAGAAGACCTCTGAGAGGCTGTGTGTGAAGAATAATCCCACCTATGGCCTTCTAAAACTCCTGCTTTCTGTCTGGAAGGAGGACTTTGGGACACCTGTTCCTGTGCAGCTGATGTTCAGCAAGAAGAACATTGGTTACCTTGCAGAAGTTAAACAACGAGAGGTAAAGCTTATTCCAGTCTGTGGAGGTGCCAGTTATGCAGTCTGGTCTCATATGTTCATGCAGGAGTTCTGCATGAGCCTGCCCTCATTGTTAACTGATGCCGTGTGTGAATGAGGCCAGCAGGATTTGGTCAGCTGCTATCTGATGTTGGTTTTGCAGGGGCAGAGGAAGAGAGGGCTGCACACAACTTGTTAGTGTTTGATACCTGTCTGGGGGGTTGTCAGGAAGGAGCAGTTTAATGAACAAATGGCAATACGGCCCATTTGGCTGGGGACGTTGGGGGCTGATAGAGTGTTATCTTACGAGATCCCCAACTATGAATCTGAAAATTGCCCTGGCTCATTGCAGGGTAAAACCAGCTTATTTCAGAAGGGAAGTAAAGAACATTTCAAGCTGTTCCTGAACACACAACAAGTAATTACTTGTTGTGTTTGGAAACCAAGAATTAGAAATTTGGAGACTTTATGGTATGAAGAGATGTATGAACTTGTGGGATTTTGCACTCATTTTGGATGTTGCTTTTTGGTGTCCTTCACTGCCGTACCCACATAAATAATGTGCTTTATCTTTTTGTTCCTTTTCTCCACATCCTGATCCACACAGGAAAACATGAATTGTATAGGGATAAAGAAATGAACACAAAATCTATTTCTTTTTGAGTTGTTGATATTTTTTCTCTTCTGCAGTGGGATTTGTTCCTTTTCATGCTTCGTGGTCTTGTAGAACATGAACTAATGAGAAGCAGTGAAATAGAAAGTTGCTTGCGTAGCCTCAAAGAGCTCCCTTGGCCCTCAGTAAGTAATGAGATGTGTGTGAACAATAAGTGAAATAAAAAGTAAAGCTACATGGACAGTCGACCCTTGTAGTTCTGTGTAGATGAAGCCCATAACCTTCCCTGTCTATAGTTTCTGCTTAATGCAGCAGCAGGACTAGCTTCCAACAGCCTTGTTTCTGTTACTAGTGCTTGGCTGAAAGCTGTGGTTGTGTGAATCCCACCATTGCACCTGCAATGCAAACAGTGCTAAGAAAGTTGTATCGCAGTTTGGTTACCAGCTCTCCATTCTAGCTTGAATGGGTCTGACATTTTCCAGCTGAGAATGGTGATGTTGGAAAGATTCTTAACTGAGCAGACTTGCATCTACACCTCTTTGCCTCCTACCACAAGAACGTGAAAGCACTTGGACTGTTCTAGCCAGAGTCAAAATGTGGAAGACTGCCCAACTCCCTGCTAAAAATGGGTGGTATTTGAAGGCTGGTGAACACCTGCATAATGGAGATGCTTAACCATTCAAACTGTGGCAGTGACCTTTCCTGAGAAGGGTGTGGGGGCTAGAGGGAGACTGAACGTGTACACCTACAGGCATTCATCTTTGCAATCAGTTGTGTAGCTTGTCTATGTTTCTGCACTGGAAAACCATCAACAACATGTTCTAACCATGTAAAGTTCTTAACAAGAGAAATGAAGTAAGCCTTTTGGTTGTCACTTGTTAATAAGGGTTCTCTGGTTTGTATCTGTTTGTTACAGGATTTCTTAAAAGAACTGGAAATGCTGTCCAGAGTATTTATATCGGAACATCAGATAGCAGAACTCGGGACTAAGCAGGGTGAGCTGACCAGACAACCTCTAGGTACCGTGACAGCACAAAGTTAATGAAGGCCACTCTTTGTAGACAAAACAGCCTAATGAAGATGTGAAGGGACTGTGCAGTGTTTCTGAATGCCTTGTGAGCTCTTTGCTGTGAGCTGCTGCCACTAGGAGGTCACTCTGTGCAAAACCCACACTGGTCTTCCCTTTCTGTTCATGGACATTTTGCCATGGTGACTATGCTGAAGGATGTCTGTCAATCAGCAAATGGATCTCCAAGTCAGAAGTCCTTTAAGCACCTTTATCATTGCTCAGAGCAGCCAGTTTTTAGACTCAGTGACACATTTTGTATCTGTGCAGCAACAGGCTGTGACCAAACCCAGAAATAGATACAAGTGGACAAGTAACTTCATGATCAGAGACATGGTTTCCTGGTGGCTCTTCTCATAATTTAATGTGACTTCTCATGTTTGTTGTCTTTTAACAAAGATTCTACTGTCAGGGGAGGGAAAGGATGAACCTGTATGACATGAAGATGAGCCTATATTTATTTTTCATTGTGAGCCCAATTTCAAAGCTTTGATTTTAATGAAGACTCATTTTAAAAGTTGAACCGTATTAAATATATACATCAGAACACTGATGGCATTATTCTGAAAGCATGTGGATGCTTAAGTGTTTTTCCATCTCTTGTTGGAAACAGAACTTGTAACTTCCCAAGGTTTTTAATAGAAATAAGGGAGAAAATATCAGTTTATATTTTTTACTGAACACAGTATTTTTAAGACACTTTTATAGTATGTGAACTTAAACGGCATCTTACTGCTGCTTTTTATAATCCTTTTTGCCTTGAGTTTGGGTTTTATCAGACAGGAAGTGCTGCAGCAAGAAAACTACAGCCTGGAAGAGCAGACAGAACAGTAGTGGAAGAGCACTGTGCCATCCCCTGGGGAGCTGGCCTGGAAAGGAATCGTTTCTGTGAGACAGCTGGCATTTCTGCTTGTGCAGATAGGTCCCCACCAAGGGTGTGATCGCCTGTCCACCCCGCGAGTATTTCCTCACACTGGAGCCTGGGGCAGGGGCTGCTGGGTGCTGGCAGGACATGATCAAGTGCTCATGAGCTGTCTCATGGGGTTATTTTTCCTGCCCCTGTAGCAGCAAGGAAATGATTTCCTTTTGTCTGAGAGTGTCCTGTTAGTGCAGGTTTTCCCAGAAAGCAAATACTGTGTGATGAGAGAGCAACATCTGGACAAAGTGAAGCCCGGTGGCTTTACCATGTGCTAATTAACTTGCCTCTTCCCTTGGATAAGGCAAGACAGGGTAACATCTTGAGAGTCAGCGATTTAAGAAAAAACACAGATAAACAGGACTGAGGAGGTGTAACTGTGGCTTCAGAGAGAGAGGCAGCAGAGGCACATCAGTGTCTGACGTGTACCGAGGTTTTTCTAGACTTGGTTAGAGCACTGTATTGACAGATTGGGCATATGCCATCTGCATGCCTCCCTGCAAGAGTTTTCTCATGACTGAAGCAGAGGATCCCTAGAAGTAGGCAGGCCGTTTATGGCAATACAAACTGGACTAGCAAGTACACCCTGTCGTATCGTACCTGCTCGCTGAGGCTGAGTCATGTGTGACTTTTTGCTGCAGATCTCATTTGAAGTTGTTGTTTGTCAAAATAAATGATTAAATCTCCTGGTTTGTGTTCAGGCTGTCGATCCGTAACCTCTTGGTACTGGGGCGAAGTACAAAAAAAGTGCCTTGCCACAAAGCGTGGGGCAAAGAAAGTAGAGTAATAGCTGCTTTGCTTATATTGAAATATAACTTTATATAAGGAGTGGTGGAAGGGGAAGAAGCTGCAATTCATAATAGCAGAAAAGGTGCTCTTGGCTCTGGAACTGATTTTACTTGGGTGTTGTAAAACTGTTTGCTTAGCTGCCATGGCCACAGCTGGTCTCATGAACTCAACGTACTTGAATTGTCCTTCTCTAATACAGTGTGCCTGGAAATTTTCATTTAAAAGGTGACCAAGGCCCAGGAGCAGTTTGCTACATCCAGAGAGCCCAACCTATGGGGCCAAAGGCAGTCAGTCCTTCTGTGGGAACCAGCAGGTAAGAAACAGCTCTGTGTCAATGGTCTTATGTCTTAATGCAATTAGTTACTCTGGTTCCTGGACATCCTGTGGTAATTTGGTCTGATCTGTAAAGCCAGACACCCAATGTTGTAGCTAAACCGCAGAAACTATTGTATGGATGCTGTTTTCTGCCTAGGGATGCTGAGGTTGCATGACTGCAGTCCCACAGGGCTGTGAGGCATCTCTCAGTGCTCCATGCATTGTACCTGTTGTAGTGCTGCAAGGAGAGCAGTAGGGAGAAGAGAGCTCAAAGCAAGCTAGGTTAAAGCACGTGGCCTTCTGTCAATCTTTCCTACAACTTCCAAAAGAAAATGGAGCAAAATGGTATTCTGCTGACTTCCTTCTGGATGTGCAGTCAGAGGAATTGTGTAACTGGACTTGGGAAGACACTTCAGCCAGTACCTCACTTCAGAACAACACAACAAAACCTCTTTGCTTGGACAAGGCATTGCATTATAGGAACCAAATTCAGGCAATGGCTATCTTCTTGACTATTGTGCTACAAATTCCTGTTCCCCACGCGTTCCTCAGCAGGTAGGCAGGACTGCTACATCATCTCCCCCAAGCTAGCTTTTGTGGTACTTCTCCGTGTGACATAATTGCATAGATGGGTGTCTTTAGCTGGAGGGGAATAACACAGGGCATGTTTTCTTGTGTAGAAAATACCATTTATTGTGGATATGAAAATAGCAATCTTGATTAAGAGCAGAGATGCAACAGTAGGTGGTACAGTACAATTGGTTTGATCATCTACTGCTCAGCAGTAACTGACAGGAAGTTGGGTTTTGCCCATTGTAGATTAACAAATTCGGTATCTGCTGGGTGTTTATTTCTTCCTTCCAACCAAACCAATGCCATACTTTAACAAGTACCATAAAATGTTATATTTGCAAAAGAAAACATTTATATAAATAGGCTTTTTAGTATCAATTGAAGATCGTATTAAAAAAAAAGTTACATTAATTCAATACTGATAAAAATAAAACTTAGCTTTGACAGCATATAAAACTGCTTCAAAACAAGCATATAGAAATAACTTAATCTGTAAACATAGAAAAAAAATCTTATGTGTATATAAAAATAAACATCTGATGCACTGTACAAGAAGACGTTATCCTTCATAGGCACTGGCATCGTTGATCAACGGGAGTCCCCCTAGATGTTTTTCCTACAAAACCTGCTTCATCACTAGTGCCATGTCCAAAATAAAAGGGAAAAAAAGTGAAGCACTGAGCAAATCTTGTGTGGATTGGATGAAGACCTCCCCTACCTCCACCAGCCATCCTTGGAAGCAGCATTCAGGATAAAGCCAATATCCCATGCTGCTCTTTCTGCTCATTTTAAATAGGGCTTTTATGTACTGCCTCATTGGCTCTTCCTTTTCTTGGTTTCCACCAAGAGGGAGGGAATGGGGAACTGTATGACAGGTTGCAAATCTGGAACTGTCTTTTTGCTCAACTGCAGAAAGCTGTGCTGGGTTGTCCCTTTGTCCTTAAGGGGCTATGGAGAATGCATGAGGCTGGAAGTAAACCATGCCATGACACGGTTTGAAGGGCTTCTAAGAAAATGCTGAGCCTCACCATAAAAGAACAGCACTATATTGGTGTTAAGATTGTAACCAAAGCAAATTTGTAAGTGAAAGGTTTTGCTGTCCTACCTGGTACAGTTTTTGGGGGGAAAGCCTTGGGCTGGTATGTTTCAAAACTGCTATTTTCTTACATATCAATTTAAAATAGCTATTTTCTTTTAAAACTGCATATATTTAAAACAGGAAGTAACATAGAAGCTGAGAGCCAAAATTACACCTGTGCAAAGATATAGTAAAGTAGCTCTTGGCTCTTAAAGGTGGGAAAACTCATCTTTTACTTACAGTAACTGCGTTGAAGTAGCAGAAGGTGATTCTGGTCAGGTGGACGCATGAATACATACTTCTCACTTGACAAATTTAAAGTGCAACAGCTTCTTGAACAATGTGGACATTTTTGAGCTAAAGAAAGCACATCGTAACGACTTCTATTGCTTACATAAGGTATCTGAAATGGTTTTTACTGTTGTGCTGAAGAACTAATGGAGTTGCTTGAGTTGGTTGTGGTTTTGTTTAATTTTAGGCATGTGTGACCAAACTAGGCAGTGTGTTGAACAAATATATATAAAGTCTGATGGCAGGATTATTGGACTAAGGTCAACAGAAATACCATGAGGTAATTGAGTCGGAAGAGTCTGTCTTCACTGCAGTGAGCGAACTGGTCATGCTCTGAACAAAGAAGCATGGTAGGACTATGGCCAGGCTGGATTTTCAGCTGATGGAAAGTGACATTGTGGAAAGCTGCTGGAGCTACTCTTACTTGCAGGATATAAATTCTAGAAACAAGCTGATTACGTGGTACTGCTCTCTACTAATGACAAAGTGTCACTGTTTACAGCTGTCAGTTTGGTTTCTTGATTTCAAAGCACCTAATTCTGCAGTGCAGTAAAACTGTGTCCTGAGGTGTGGTGGTTTCCACTGATGCTGCATAGTGTAGTGGCAATCCAAAATACCTCACACTGGCTGTAAGCCATCAGCCAATTATAGGAGAAAAATCTGTTCAGGGTGTAGGGTGCTAGTGGATATCGCTCTGTTTGAACTTCCCTTCTCCAGGGGAAGTCTAGCCAGCAAGCTAGGTTAAATGATTTATCTACACTGTTAGGAATCCTGTATTTGATGCTTATCTGAACATTAGAAAGCAGCCTTGCAGCTCTACTCAGGAGTTGCAAAGGGCCTCAAGCCATATGTGGACTGTTTCCAGTTTGTAGTGCATGTCATTGCTTCCATTGCCTTTTTCCCACTGGTGCCTAAACTTTCTTAAAGAAGGTTGGTCTTTGAAGCACCTTGGAAACAGAAATTAAATACTACATTCTGCATGTAAGATGCTGGCTATTGTAAATCAAAGTCTCTTCCTCTGTTTTATGTAGAGACAGCACACCTTCTTGCTGCTCCATGGAGGTTTTCCACAGCTGTCTCCAGGAGGACAGGTTCCCATCAAACCTGCTGCATTTCTTCCAAGCAGCTAAAATAAATGATCCTTTTTCCTAACTATCCTTTTGCACAGTCCAGTGTTAGCAGTGAGGCTTGATTGTGACTGACTGTGAGCCAGCATTTTACATTACCCTTACAAGGCTTACGTCTTGTTGTGAACTTTGAGCTGCTGTTACTTGTCCAGTTTTGTACCCAACATTAGCTAGCAAGGAAGTGTGCCAGGTGCGCGATCACCAGCGGCTGGCACTTGGCGATGGAACTCAGAAGCCTTGCAGGGATAGCTGGAGCACCAAGATCCACCTGCAGGAATGGGAAGAAAGGCCACATGTGGGAGTTTGTACCTGAGTTTGGGCAAAATGCCTCTCTAGCCTCAAATAGCTCTGATGGTACATGTAGGTATGTGATGGTGCAAGTTATATGTCTGTAAACTACAAAAGTAGTTTACAGGCAAATGGTATCATTCCTGTGTGGTTTTTATCTGTTCCTTCCCAATACTCCATAGGCTTTCAAAGCTTTGCTTTTTGATGTCACTTTCAGCAGGTATGACCCACACTGCTTTTGAGTTTAAGCTTCAATTAAATATTACTAGTTTGAGACAGATACAGTGTTGCTGAAAATGTATATGTACATACTAAAAATACGTATATTTATAAAATATATATATGCATATACTGCAAAATGCATATACATTACACATGCAGTGTAAAATGCATATACTAATTACTATAAAGATTTTTTTATATTGCATCTTAAAAGCATGTATTCTATAGCTAAGTTTAAAGGACTAATGACATGTAGCTCTCTGATGAGCACTTTAAAATAAATCATGCACGTTTGGCATTCTCTTCTAGACACTGCTTGGTACCACTATCTCAAGGAGAGCTTACTTTTCAGATGAATCTCTAATGAATGGATGGCAGGGTTTTCTTAACTGGAATCCTAATCTGAGTTTCTCTTTTGTACCTGCTGAATCTGAAGAATTAACACCTTCAGTTAGAAAAATTTAGCAACCGGTATTTCTGTGCATTTTGAACACAGTGTAACCTGAGGTGGACTCCTCTGTCCACAGCAAGGTTAAGTGACAACAAGAGTTTTCATACTGATTCCCCCTGTGAGAAGGCAGCATCCACTGAAGCTGCTAATAATCCATTACAGAAAGGTCTTGATATCCAAAGGAGCAGCTCCAGATGCTACAGAAACTTAGGATCAACCATGTGCTTCAGCACAATCCTAGTAAGATTCTCGCTGCTTTAGTGTACATTATGTTAGGTAACAGTGTGAAGTGGAGGAGACATTCGTGATCAGCTCATGGAGCGTAGCATAAGGATTATACATTTTGTTACTTACCTCTTATCTGTACAAGCTTTTTGCATTCACAGTTGGACATAAAGAGCAAAATCTTACCTGTGCCATGTAAATAACTCTAGTGATATCTCTTCCATTCACCACATCAGGCTCCAGTATCCAAGCACTTGGCAGAATCTCCCCTCTCACCACTTCTTTGCAAGGGTGGGGCATGGATGCATCATAGACAGACTGAACAGC